AAAAGATTACCTGCTTAGCTGAAAAGGCAGTATCAATTTCTTTGGCGGCAGCTTTGCGTGCCTCATCGATGATGCGCACCAAGGCATTAGCGTTATCATCGAGCTGTGAGTGAGCACGGCTCAAACTTGCACTTAGACGTTGTTGAGAGGAATCCACCTGGAAAAGCAAGCCTTAAACTGAATGATACTATTTTTATAAAAAAAAAGCAAATGCGGATTAAGATCGGATACCTGTTTGAACATTTCCAACAGCTCAATGTGTTTATTGCGCGCTTCATTGACTAGCAGCTCCATGGTGCTGAGCTGCTTATCGGCGACCTAAACAAATATGCTGAACACACATACTCGAGCAAAAAATACAAGAACATTTGAGTGCGCTTTTTTGCAACTGCTTTTTAGCATTAAAATGCACTAGATTCTCTACTCCTATGATTGGGGAACAGTAGCAGTATAAACCGCTTTCGATTGAGGTTTTCAAGAAAAGAATTTTCAACCCAGTTTAGTGAGTAGAAATTACTGATTAGCAATAGGATTAATGTAAAAATGCAACAGGGAAGAGAATACTCACCTCGCTGATGGGTTCATACTGATGAGATGGTTGTGCATGTTCCACAAGCGTACATTCGCGACAGATAGCCAAATTACAGGTGAGACAGAAAAAGCGCAAAGGCTGAGCACGATGCTGCAAACATTTACAGGCACGCTCGTGAGCGGAAGCCGCACTGGATGGAGGAGCAGGTGCCTTAATCCGTTCGTTAAGAAAAAGAAAGAAAAATCAGAAAATGCTTTAGCACTACCTGAATTTGTGAGATGGCTTCAACACGATGTCCCTCAAAACAATGCATGTACTGATGGGCCATCGTGCAGTTGGTGCAAAGATAGTGAGTACATTCTTGGCAGTAATGGGATGCACGTTCTCCGGATTTGCATCCAGTACATGCCGAACGGTTTGTTGTGTTAGAATTCTAAATAGAAGTAAAAAAATTGAGAAAAAATGTAAGATAGATATCCACAATGAAATGTACCTGATCACAAGGTGAGTCGGAAAGGGGTGGGGATGAGGAAGTAGAACTGGGAGAGCCAAACAGCAATCCCTTATCTTCGGTTAGGTTAGGACGAGAAAGAACAGCCTCAAGACCATAGTCGGAGAGGAGAGAATCGAGGCCAAGTTGGACACTGAAACGATAACATAGAAATGAGAACGAAAAGAAGAGCAATTTGAAAGCGAATTACT